GGCCCTACCTTTGTTTTCTTCATTTTCAGCTAAAGCTTTGACACTTGACATCAGGATGTCATCATAACCCAGGAACTCGTCCAGCAATAGGCGACTGAACCTGTCCCCAAAGCACTGATCCCTGGTAGGATCTGGAGGGAAGACAAAAAAACCCCACTCAGATTGCTCGTACCTTAAGCCACAGAGGTGGCGAGGCAAACACGGGCTTCTCGCCGCTCCAGAGGACCTGGATCTGTGCTCGGACCTTTGGCAGCGTCACTAAACTGGGCAAGACTGGGAAGGAAAACGTCACACCATCCCCATCCTGCAGCAGAGGACATGCGAACACAACCCCCCGGCGCCGGGCACTAACGAAGGCTGGGCAATTCCACCTCACCAAGCTGGTACTGCGTCCTGCTACACCAGCACCGACCAGCTTGTAAAAATAACCCCACTCTAAGCAAAACAGGAAGCGTCAACACAAACGTTTTCTCAGTAAATTACTGGGATACTGGAACCTGCCCATCTGAACTGGAATTGCCAGGCCAGTAAACAACATGGAAACTGCCCATGACCCCTATGGGGTCACTCTTAATGCTCCAGCCCAGCTGCACTTCAGTGGGATTAGGAGTACGGAAGGAAATCTGGCCCGAGTGCTGCGCTACCAGCTCGTTACAGATCAATTAGTTCACAGGCACGAGAAGGTCTGAGACCGCACTCCTGACTTATGGAAAACGCCAGGAGAAGAGAACCCTCCAGGAAAACGGTATGCTGGTGCTAACAGGGTGTCCTGCTTTCGACTGGGACAGGGCTAGTTTTTCTTTTTAGCAGCTAGAAGAGCTCTGTGTTTTGGATTTGGTCTGGGATTTGTTAGGAGAACGTTGATAGTGCACTGATGTTCAGAGTTGGTGCCGAGACATCAAGGACCTTCCAGCTTCCGTTGTTTCTGCAGGAGCAAACAGGCTGGGGGAAGCACGGCCGGGACAAAGGGCCCACAACTCCACTTTTCATTCGGAGTTGGGACTGAGGGCCAAGCAGGCCCATGGAATATTCTGTACCATGCAATGTCGTGCCCCATACATAGAGGAAGGTGGACCGGGAAGTTGGAATTGCTTAATTCTCTTCTGTGGGGGTCTCACACAGTTCTCTCTCTCTCTCTCTCACTCCCTTTTCAGGTCTCACTCATCTGGGATTGCGGTGTCGGGACTGATCTGTTTTGGGATCACTGGCCAGGACAGGAGTTGGTCTCCAAGTGATGCATGATTACACTGTGCATCACTTGTTTGTACATATTGTTATCGTTACATATGCATTCATATGTTGTTATTATTAATTTTATCGTTATGACTTCTAATTCTATGCTGTTACTAAACCGTTCTTATCTCAACCCACAAGCCTCCTTCCCTTCTCCCCTTTAATTCTCCTCCCCATTCACCAGGGGGTGGGGGAGAGGGAGCGAGAAGCCACGGCATTGGGTTGCTGCCCGGTTAAACCTGGGCACAAGGGCACAGGAGCCAGGAGCACGCCAAGACGGCGCCAAGTGGGTCTACTCAGCGTTGTCCCTGATTCCCACCCCGGGCTCTGACCCCGCGCTGCTGCCGCTCCACGAGCAGCCTGGACCTTCAGGACCATGAGCTCTTCCTTCCTCAGTGAGAAAACTCTGCTGGACACAAGATGGGGGCTCCGCCATTTCAGACAACTCCTCCTGGAAAGGTGTGACCTACTAGGGCCATCAGGCCTCCATAAAGAAGCTCTCCCACGTGGAAAGTGAGCGCCATCAACTGTTACAACAGTCTCCACAGGACTGAAGAGGAAAGGGCACGCGGGTGCCTGTGCAGAGCGCCCACCCACCCCTGCCCACTCCTCACTCACCCAGAGTCACCACCATCACTGGGATGCTGAGCCGCTGGCGAGTGCTCTGCGACAGGCGCAGAAAGCCGTACTCCAGCGAGTACTCCACGATGTACTCCTCCTGCGGCCACACTGCAAGAGAGGGGCGGGGGGAGACTCAGCAGCAGTTCGCCAACCATCACCCAGGAGAAAGGGCACCTCTGGATTCCCTCCCTCCCTCCCGCCACTTTCTGGAAAAGAATCAGTTGCAGACACAGGCTCCAGGCTTCCTTCGACCCATTTAAAACAAATCAGTACAAATTCGTTGAAACTGTGGCCCACTCCCTTGACATTAGTCCTTAATGCGCAACTTCTGGGAAAGCTTCGGGGCACTGGTTTCGAGCTCTGTCGAGCGTTATTCGGAATCTGCCCACATCTTTGCCTGGCAAGCCCCAGACCGCTTCTTGCTCTGTTCAATTCCTGCTTTCCATGTCGTTTAGGAAACAGCAGGAGAATCGACTCCGTGCCCGATGGGCACCATGTAAGCACTCCGCAGGGCACGAGCCCGGCGTTTCTCAGGAGACCGAGGTCACTGCTGCAATTACACATCTCAGAACGAAAGGCAAGAGCAATTACAGCTTTCCAAAACAACTTTGGTGCCTGAAGTTTCCTTGATTATTTTTTTTTTTTAATGAAAGGCTCAAAATAGATGCTTTTTGCTACATGATCTCTGAAAGGACAAAACCTCCTGCTAAGTTGGAGCCAAGCAGTTTAACCCTTGATCTTTCAAACTGTCACAGCATATCTTGCAAGAGGTGAAGGGAAGCAGCTGTCAGGTATCTGACAACGACAGAGCAAAAAAGTTAAAAGGATACGGTAACTTCAGAGAAATGCACCTGCTGCTTCCGACTCACAGCGACACATCTCCCACAGAAATGCCCACTTTACTTCCCCACCTCTGACCCCGTTTCCTGGGCAGCAAACACTGACTGGTATGTTTGTTTCATCTTTTTTTTCTGTTATAAAACAGTTTTAAGCTCAAATGGAAATGAAGTGTTTAAATATCAGCAAAAGAATTACTTCCTTTGTATCATAAAACATGTTTCCATGGTAAAATGCTCTGTCTAAACATCAAATTTGGTGTACTTACAGCACAAGAAGCCTGGAAAAACAACAGAAATAAGTATTTGGGGGTCTAGGACCCATTTGGAAGGATGATTTTTTTAAACTATGTTGGGAAGAAGCAGGATTCTCTCTCCCGCTACGCTGTGGGATCATTTCCAACGAGGCATTCGGGAAATCGAGGCACAGTCTGTTGGCACACACGGCGCTGGGCAACGCGGCCCTCACAGTGGGCAAGCAGTAACAGAGAGACAGCACCAAAACCATTCACTGCTCTCCGCTCTCATGCGGCTTAATCATCTTGAATTCAGGACTAACGAGTTCTGGATCAGCATCAGGCAAAATCCCTGCAAGACCACGGGAGCAGTGCCAGCGCAGTGCCCAGTCTCACCGTCCTCCACAGCTGGAACGCCCAGTGCTTCCAAAGAACCCCAGTCTTTCCAGGGATAAAAGTGTAGGCGAAAAAGGCAAATAAAATAAGAATCCAACTGTCATGTTTCTGTTTTAACATCAACATTTTTGAATAGCTTTCCTCCTCTAACCACTGGAAAAAGAACTTTTCTAACAGTGGAATTCCATTTTAAATACAAAGCTGCTAAACCTCCCTCTAGAGTTTACAAGACATTAGCAGCTCAAGGCGTGCTGGAGCCAGGGGAGGGATGAAGCAGGATGACATCCTGAACGAGGCAGAGCAGAAATGCTGGATCTCACAACCCACTAACACTCGCTCGGCGGCTTGCAGCACTCAGGAGCTACTCCAAGTGCCGGTGTTGATCCAGAGACCCAAACCCTGTCACCACGAGGAACGCGTGCCGCCAGCGGGATCCCTGCAGGCCTCAGGAGGACAGCAAACTGTTCGGAAGAGAGAGGTTAAATCCGAGGTATCTGGTACCGACCACCGCAGAAACACGACGCCAGACCAAGAGGCTTCAGCACATCCTGCAGCCCCGGTGAGCCCCGGCCCCCTCACGCCGAGGAGCTGCTGCCAGCGCAACGTTAACCACAGGAGCACAGGGATGGCATTCCGGGTGACTGCGCCCGCGCCCAGGGAGGCCGCAAGGAACAGGACGTGCAGGGAGGGTGCACGGAGCGGGGAGGAGGGAGCGCGGACAGCGGGGAGGTGTCTTTACCTGCTCTGGCTAGCATCTCAAACTCGGACACCGTCTCCCTCAGAGGCTGCATACCTTTAGTGGCTGCTTCACTCAACGAGAACTCCTGGCTTTCGTTACGGGTCAGTGCCTCGGTGCTGCTCACCCGGGACGGCTTGAGGAACACCTTGGGCTCAATATCCAGCTCGAACTGTTGGAAAACCACGGCAGGGAAAGCCACGTTAGCAGTCGCTTCAGCTCGCACCTTCCGTGCTCCCTCTGCGCCCCAGCAAAGGCCTCCACCACCAAAGGAGGAAGAGAGAGGCCACTTCCTCAGGTTCCCATTGCTGTCAAACCAGCAGAGGCTAACGTGGAGATTCGGGAAAAGCCAAGGAACACACGCTGCTTCCAGGTGACAGAGTGGTTACACAGGCACAGTGGCACTAGCAAACCATTTCTCCCCAAACCAACCACCAGGTTCCCATTCTCCTTCTGTGTGCACAAGGAACACGTCTTTACCTTGATAGAGCTGTTTTCAAACATGTCCACAGTCATTTCCTCCTCTTCCTCCTCCTCTTCCTCAGCTGTGGATTCAACCACCATTCCTGGGAACTTCTCAGCACCACAGAATTGCAGGAAGATGGGGGCTCGGCTTGAGTTGCGCTGTATTTCCACCCGCAAGATGCCATCCCGGGGCCACTTATCTCGCACGTGCTCCAGGCAGTTAATGGGCGAGCGGGAGAAGGCGATGTGGATGTAAGCCAGGATGAAGAGCACAAAGAGAGCCTGCACACGGCGAGACACAGAGCAGAGACCATCAGCCCCGCCAACCTTGGCCTGTTTACCGACTCTCCTGTTTCAATCATCTCTTCTTTGCCCACAGAGACCCCGGATTAGCTCGGGCAAACAGCTTTGTAGGTGGACAAGTGCTTTCACACCTTCCGACCCCGGTGGTCTCTGCATCAACAACAAAGCAGCCCAGAACGAGGCGATTTCAGCACCACCACATCCACAGGGGAGCACAGCAGCAAGAACCGCCTCCTCCTGCCTGCCAGACCGGAGCTGCGCTGGCGCCTGTGCAGCACACGCACCCTGCCGAAGGCACAGGTCACACGCGGGCCCCGGTGCTGTGTGAGGTCCCGCGAACCAACACCGTCCGCAGGACGACGGCGCCTCGGGCAAACCAACCCAACACAGTGCCAACGCGGCTCTGAAGTGTACTGGAACAGAAACGCATCCACGGCTGTCCACCATTCCCTCCTCGGCACAAAGCGCCTCCTTATGAAGCCCAGAGAAGGCTGCCAGATTTTACAAAGGCAGAATAAAGCAAACCTCGACAAAAGACAACCCACCACAAGAGCAGGACAGCCTGAGCCCTCAGCAGAACTGCCATCTCCGTGCTCCGAGCCAGCACTTGGCACTGCGAGGCACGGACTCTGCCACGGCTGGGCTCACAGAGCGCCACCGCTCCCTTGCCCGGGCTCAACCCAAGGAACAGCTGTAAAGTCACTGCAAAACAAGTGGACTATAAAACACGTTCCCTATGACAGAGACAGTAAATCTGGCCCGATGTTACCCAACACTGGCCAAAGTTCACAGCTGCACACTCCGAGGAACGCTGGCACAGTGAGCAGCACCGCTGAGTTCCACACACTCCCGTTCCATCCGCACCGAGATGCCCGTTCCTACCCGACCTACCTGTCCTCGCTACATGTTCTCGTGACCCATTTGCTACGAACAGACTGGCGAGCACCACATCTGCAGAGCAGCTGCACAGGACGGTAACTCAGAAACACCTCCCTCGTCGCAGGAGGAGCCACCATGAAGCCGGCAGAACCACGAGCAGCTTCAGGACTCGGCGGACAGCAGCGCACAGGACCGCGGCCCCGTTTAACCACCTACCACACCCTGTGCACAGAGCCCAGGCTGGAGCCCACCTGACCCCCACCCCTGCGGGCAGGAGCAGGTTGTGCGCCGCCGGTGCCCTGTGAACACTCCCACTTCCTCAGGAGCACTTTGGCCAAAAGTGGATGGCAGCAAGAACCGCTACCAGCCGGATCATCGCTCTGCCCGACGGCCTCGCCGTCAGCACCATCCCCATTCCAGTCTCCCCGTCTGCCTGACTCCAGTTATGCAACGGGGAAAAAAAGAGAGAGATTAAAACCTCGAACACTTCTTGGGAGGGGAGAAAACGCACGCGTGCAGCGGCAGACAAGCTGTCCCACACGCTCCCCTGCTCTCAGAGGCTGGCTGTTGGAAACTCGGAGCAGGAGCGTACTGTGGCCACCGCCATGCTCCTCGCCCCTCGCCCTTACTCCAATCTCTGCTGCTGAGAAGCGCTAGCACGTGCCCTGGACGCTGTGGTGCGGGATTTAACCTACGGGCAGCTCACCCCGCAGACACCGACAGGCCCCTCTGTGGGTCCCCAGTCCTGCACCCACCTTGGCAAGAACGCGGGTGGGTTTTCACCCCGCCGCGCAGAGGTGTGGTACTGCACGGGCACAGCTGAAGGTGCTGACTGCTAACAAGGGGTTAAATCGGGGCTGTGCACCAATTGCTTCCAGAAAAGATAAGACTCCGACAAAACTCCAACAATCAAATCTCTCACGTATGCAATGCACGCAAAAAGAGCGATTGCTTGGAAACAGACCTGGAAACCTTCCATGCCCACATCCCCGGGCCCGGCCCGCGCCAGCCTGGCTGCCCAGCAAGTGGCTCAGGGATTTCCATTTGACTTCCAGACCCGGTCCCAGAGCTCTGCTGGTGTGGGAGCACCACAGATGGCTCCAACTCGGCACGTCTTG